ACATCATTCTGACAGAGGCACTCCTGGTACCACAGATAATGTGAAGTAGCATTAAGAAATCAGAATTGGACAATAGGAAAAAGTGCTGGACAGATTCGTCACATGAAAAGCTATAACAGGCTATTCAGTGCAAGGGTAGCTCATTTACAATTTACAAGGGAACTTAATTCTGTTCTTCTTAAAGATAAACTATATGAATTGATGTACAAAGAATATATGAACCCCCTTTTACTGATTAAATGGTCTGTTCTAATTGCTCGGTCATAAGAGCTGTTGTTGGACTGAGAGTGCTGAGTGGTAAACAGAGTTATAAAGCAATTTGTGATTGGGGAATGCAAATGTAAGTGTCTTGTTTTTAGAGGAATATTGCCGTCCATGTCGATATGTTCACTAAAACATTATTTGCAGCAATATTTATCATTATGCTCTTTATAATATAATTTTATTCATATGCATTATACTACATACCCTGTTTGTAGAGTTAGAACAGTTCTATAGCAACATAATTTTCTATTTGTATGTAACGTGCAATTTATTTTTTTTACAGAGTTACATAACTTCAGCTTATATCTTTTTCCTTTATTCTTTTGTGGGATGTGGACATTGCTGACAGTGGTTGCCATCCCTAATTTCCCTTAAATCGAGAGGCATGCTGGGTCATTTCAGAGGGCAGTTAAGAGGCAATCAATTGCTGTGGGTCTGAGGCCACATGTAGATAAGACCAATGTAGGATGGGAAATTGACTTCCTTAAAGAACATTAATAAGCGAGATGGGTTCATACAACAATTGCTTAGGTATGAGTTGTCACAGAAGGATTTGAGCCCATCTTCGTAAAGCATTGATCTGAGCCCCTAGATTATGATTCCAGTGAAATTAATAATACAACACCTCTTTTTTACCATCTAACACACCTGCATATAAAAATGAGGCATAACACAGAGTTTTTTCAACACACAAACTATGGTCCCAATTCTTTATTTGCTTTTAAATATTTAATGTGTGAAAAACATGGGCATTTTGAATTAAAAAAAATCTAAACTTCCTTTCCCTTTAATTTATGAGCTCAGCAATTTTGATGTTTTATACCTGATTACTGTACAATCCCTGGATTTATTCAGAGCACAAATCAATATCACAATGAGCTTGATAGTATCAGAACAGACAGATCCATTCTCCACAGATATTTAACTCACTATTCAAGTACAACAGGCCCACAGGAGGGTATGGTTGTTTTAATGTCTTTGATGGTCAAAGTAATAAAAATGACTGAGATTTTACATAACTAAAAATTGAATTAGACATTCCACTTTGTATTGAGTCTATAATTTATAAAGGATCACTCTGAGGTGCAAAAGTAATTTACTGCTTTCTTTTCCACTGTGAACCATCTTTATAAATTCCTCTCACTTGCAATAGGTGTTAAGAAACTCATGACCCTCTTGTCCACAAATGCTTTATTCCACCTCATTGTTTCCATGAGACCCATCTCCAGCCCACTCCACCTGACCCACACTAAACTTCTTTCCTGGCCTCCATATTAGCTAATATTATTAAGAATTCCCTCTATTCTGGTTCTGTCTTCCTCCTGTCCAAATCAGTTGTCATGACAACTCCTAACATAAAATCTATCTTTGGTACTTCTGTCCTTATAAATTATAAACCCAAGTCAAACCTCCTTTTCCTGGCCCAAGCCTTCAATAATGTTGCCACCTTCCAAATCGATGCCTTTCTTTTCTGCAGTAAGCTCTGCAGCAGCAACCAAAAATCCCCCTCACAATTCCTTTGTGTATATCCGTGACTGCACAGAAAGGTTAAGGGGCTGTGAACATAAATAAATTACCCCTGGACTCAAAAAGAATTAGAGGGAATGTTAGTTTGTACTTTTTTAAACTTCAAGTTTAACGTCTTTAAACAAAACTAAATAAGCCTTGTCAAAATCACAAGATATATCCTATCTGAATATGGATGTATTAAACTAAGGCTCGTCAACCCCTCAACCTGAATGTTGCCTTTGACATTGTTGGCCTCCTCCAATGCCTCTCACTGAGTAGGATTATACTTGCCTGGTTCCATCCTTATCCACCTAATTCTGCTACAGAATCACATGCAATATCTTTTCTTCCCACCCCCACACCACTGTCTCTGCAGCTCACATGGATTTATACATGGTCTTTCACTATTACATTTCTACATGCTTTTTCACAACTGTATCATTCAAAATCATATTAGATTCTACATAAATGCTGAAGGCGTCCACTTCTAGCTCACCATCATCTCTCTTGATCCCTTCACTCTTATTTGTTCTTCAGCATCCTGTCTTGAATGGGTAAGAATTTCCTCCAAACAAATAAAGGGGAGACCACAGTATTGTCTTAGGACACTGTCACAAACCCTCTTGCCACCTCACCATCTCCCTAACTGGCAATTAACTGAGGTTAAATCTGATTGTTCACAATGTTGTTATACCTCAGTTCAGCTTTTGACCACCATCCCTCTGAACACAAAAACCACCTGTTGCCTCCAGACATCATTGCCTGATTCTACATCTGCCTCAGCTAATCTGTTCCTGAGGTGCTCATCCATGCCTTTGTCACATCCAGACTTGAGAATTTCAATACCCCACTCTCTATAAGCTTTAGCCAATCCAAACTCTGCTGCTATATCCTAACTTGCTTCAATTCTATTTACTCTTGCCTTTATGTTCACTGATCTACAATGGCTGTTAGTTGAACAACACATTGTTTTGGAAGTTGAGGTTATGTTTGACGTCATGTTAAGGTTGTTAAGGACGTTAGTGTAGCCTCTTCTGGAGTACTGTGTACAGCTCTGGTCGCCTTGTTATAGGAAGGATATTATTAAACTGGACAAGGTTCAGATGAGATTTACCAGGATGTCACCAGTAATGGAGGATTTGAGTTATAAGGAGAGACTGGATAGGCTTGTTCTTTTCTCACTGGAGCATAGGAGGTTGAGGTGTGACTTTATAGAAGTTTATAAAATCATGAGAAGCATAGATAAAGTGAATGGTAAGTGTCTTTTCCATGGGGTGAGGGATTTCAAGACTGGGGGGCATATTTTAAGGTGAGAGGAGGAAGATTTAAAAAGGACATGAGGGGCAAAGGTTTTACACAGAGAGTGGTTCATGGGTGGAATGAACTTCCAGTGGGAGCGGTGGATGTGGGTACAGTTACAATGTTTAAAAGACATTTGGATAAGTACATGAATAAGAAATGCTTCAAGGGGTATGGGTCAAGCACAGACACGTGGGACTAGTTTAGTTTGGAAACATGGTTGTCATGAACTGGTTGGACTGAAAGGTCTGTTCTGTGATGTATGACTCTATGATTCTCTAAGTTCTTTTCCTTGTTTTCAAATCTCTATCAACTTATACCTCCATATCTCTCTAATCTCTTCCAAACCTCCAATATCTCTGTGCTCCTCTAATTTTGACTTGTTGAGCATCCCAATTTTAATTACACCATCACTGACAGTCATGCCTTCAGGCTGCTGAGTCCCAGAATTCTAAAATTGTCTCCCAACACATCTCTATGACATTTTTTCTTCCTTTAAGATGCTCCCTAAAAGCGTATCTCTTTTTCTAACATCTCCTTACAGAGCTCAATTTTAAATTTTTTTGATAAAGTTCCTACAAAGTGTCTTGGGACATTTTATTGTATTCAAGGTGTTTTTGGGCTTTAACCAATAGGTGTTCCAAAGCTGAAGTGAATACTTAGAAAGGTTCCTGTAGATTTTGAACTGAAATCAAGCTTCTGGCATGTCTGTGTACAGGGTATACCCTCTTTTATTTATGTGTTTACAAACCCTAACTCTATAGCTTCAAAGCAGCAAATGGAGATATTTAATTTAATTTTGAATGAATGTTTACACAGTGTCTGCTGTGCGATGGAAGTCTGTTACAAGTCAGAAAGAGAAACCTGAAAGATTAAGTATGACACTTCAGCCTTAAGGTGTTTTAATATTTTTGGTCACTGGCCAAAGTTGTTACTCTTAATAATTAATATAAACACATTAATTATTGTTATCTGCCATGTTCAGGTTTAGATGCTCACAGTGTCACAGTGCACAAGACAGTACCAATAACTGCTTTGACCAGAAACCAGTCAAATGACTGGACTTGTGCACTTGAGATTAATTTCCCTGTGTGTTACGAGAAAATATCACACTATTGTATATCATCAAGAAAAGAAATTACGAGTTGTTGCAAGTTAGCAATCACACTGAGAAGTCTTATAGTAAGACAAGTTTATCACTTAAATCCCTAATCAAGATTGCATCCTTGAGACTACAGTTGGATGGCTAGTTTCAAATTGAAACTTTTTACAAGCATTTTTTTTCCTCCCTCCAACTTTTCGAGTTAAGGTCACGGCGCAACTCCATAGGCAGTCTCTGCCAACACTTGCTCCAAAACCAACCACTAGTGCCTCAGAAATGCTAAGGGTGATTCTCTGTCGTTATGAGGAAGTCACACAATTATTTGTTATTGGAATTACCAATACACAGTATACATTGTTAAAGGATTTGTCATTTGCATTCCGCACAATTTGACAATGTTCAAGCACAAAAAGGTTAGAACATCTATTACTGCTAGATTTAAAGTAGCAGAAGAGTTTCATAACTGTAGTTCCCTGTGCATTAATGTCACAAAGTAATGCCATTAACAGTTTTATTTCACCAAATGTAACCATATGACATACAGGAGTAATTACTGCAAAATAAATTTACAAGACATGTCGTTACATTTCAACTTTAAAGAAAGAAGTATTCGTCCAACATAAGAAAAGTGCTACATATAACTCTCCGATCCAATACAAATGCACATCATCCCACCTGCTAAAAACCAGCTTTATTCCTCCTGCTACAGCGATGGAGCTATTTAACAACCTCTGGGGAGGAGCAAAGCCAACATTGACTCTTGGGTATACCGAACACCAAATTGACTTTATTTTTAATCGATCAAAAGGTTACTGTTTAAACTTACCATATCGTAAACATTGAGAATCACTGGTTCATTTGCCATCGCTCGTTACAGAGATCACACAGTTCCAATAATCCTTAAATCAGTTACCGGCCACAGTCCACTCTCACTGACCCGGGCTACTGTTGCACTCGGGATCAAACATGCGGGGCAATTTTTGTTTTACACTGAGATCGGAAATCCGTGCAGTCTCCGAAAATACACAGCGGAGATTGGTTTCCCTCTACTCGGGGCAATGTGATCGAGAGAGGGTGGCGGCAGCTCATCCATAAGTAGTTCCCCTCTCTGCAAATCCAGCCTGCAGGCTAGAAAACCATGTAATTTGCATGCATTTTGAACAGAAGAAGGGGGAGAGAGCAAAAAGAAAATGCATCAGTAAGAAATCATTGCCTCAGATGCTTCAGACCCATTGGAGGATGCTGTATGTCAACCGGCCTTCTCCACGCGTTGCAGGAGAGACGGGGCGAGTTGAAGCGCGCGTTACTTTTGCCTCTCCGGGCTCGGCACAGTTAATGGCAGCAGGGAGCAGCGCTTGGCGCTGTCCAGGGTGCTGATGCAACGAAGCCAGCTCTCGCCCGGCTGGAGTAGGATGACATCACTTGAAGCTGCTCTCCCAGCCAGCCAGGCTTTCAAAGCAGCCCCAGCAAATTGAGATGGAGATTGCAGCGATCTGGTTACATCATAAACGTCCACATCTCCAAAAAAGAGCCGGGCACGCTTAAAGCTGGACTGCAACCGGGGTCCCGGAGATCATTCTCCCGGATGCATCAGAAGCCTCCAAAATAAACAAGAGCGCTCTTCAAAACCTCACTCCCCGGGTTTCCAAAGCCACATCAACCACATCCCAATAATCGAATGGACACCGTTAAATAGGAGCTCCCACGCTTGAGTATGCAGCTTGGACTTAGTCGATGGGGATCGGTGGGAAAGCTGTGATTTACAGGTGCACACTCTGAAATGAGAATTTGCCCCTCTGAATTCGCCTGGTGAAAGGGACCGGCTCCTCTTAAAATGCAGGCATTATTCGCTAACAGCGGAATCGCTTTTGCGATTCCCAGCGCACGACTGCCGCAGGATCGCTCTCGCAAGCTGATGCTCCCAAGTTTGCTCCAATACCACAGCACGCAGCTTTGCAACGGCTTGGCTTTAAATCCAGGCAGTTGGAATTAGATACCGATAGCATTTCAGCAATCCAAAAATAAACCATCTCATGGTAACCTTTTCACAGAACCACGAACACGTGATTTCCTTGTGGTTTCCAGGAGAATGGGCAAAACCATCAAATCTGGATTGTTTATATAGTACTCCAACTGCTGAACTCTGCTTCAAATAGTAAGAAGCCAAAGGAGAGGGCTCATAATTTAACAGGTACGGTGCCCTAATATGTGAGCAAGGTGTTCAGTTATACTTGAAATTCTCAATCTCCCCATTCCATACTTTTTTGATATCATTTTAAAAATTGATAGAAATATAAAGTAAAGAGGATCAACAGCTAACCTTTTAACCCTGAAGTAACCTTTGCCTTATAGAAGGTTATTTGGCAGTAGTCTCTTTTCTTGAAAGACAAGATTACTGCTGTTGAGAGTTTCAAGCTGAAGATCTTGTCTTCTTTCCCCAGATGATTTTTCAATTCTTAATTCAAGGATTTGAGGCTCACGGATCTTATTATGTGTTGCACAGAGTAAACCAGACAGAATTCTAAAGGACACTCACAAGACTTGTTGAAGTATTATTGAACAAACCAATGATCTCAATGTTAGAGGAATTTTCAGTTATGGAAATGTTGACGGCAGTTATCTGTTCCTTTGAGACTCGTAAAAAGGAGACCAGCACATGTATGCTCAAGCTCTCTAAAGGGACAGAAGTAAAACATCGAGGACACTGTCCTTTTACAGCTGTAAGACTGCCTCTGGATACACCATGGAAGATAGACATATCATCTTACAACTAAAGATCCTCAACACTGTGAGGCAGATGTGCTCTATAACTGTTTGCTTGTGGGAAAATAGATACATTCATCACAAAACCGATATAAGATGCTGTACACTAAACTGGTAGGAATTAGATCTCAAAGTTTTACCAGCACTTGAAGTGCAGACTTGCATATCTTTCAGCCAAAATGAGGCATTTTTGTCTTATTTTGTTTCAGTGGTGGTTCCTCCAATTCAGTCAGAAACCAGCTAAATTCTGAAAAAGTGGAGGACTTAACTTTAATGGAGTCATCTACAAGATATAGGTAAGTGATGAAAATAAGGATAATGTACTTGAATTGGAAGGAAGTGATTCTTGATGTCCCGCAAGTGCCTCAAATACTTACCTTGTTCAGTCATAACTTACATAACACAATAGAAAGCTAAATATTCAAGTTTACTGATGACACATAGATTGTGTTATGGTGAATAGTGTAACAGAGATTATGTGTGCAATGACTATCTTCCCTTTCTTGACACAGAAGCCCTGGGTTCAAATCTCACTTCAAGACTTGATAGTCAGGAAGGATGTGAATGTTGCGACAGAAAATCCTTGGGGAGACAAGTTGGTAGAACAACTGATGTGGATCATATTAGAGTCAACAGTTCATAACTTGATCTTTGTTTCAGCTGGGGTAGCTACAGAACCTGCCTCCTTGCCTTAACCATGGTGAAGATTGTGGCACTGTAGGCTGCAACTGCCTTCAAGAAATGAACTGAAGAAGTATTGTAGACAGGAGCATGTAATTTAAAAAGTTAAGTTGGTCAATTAATTGAGTGTATGAAACTGTGACAGTTGCGTTTCAATGTAGGTAAGTATCATCTCATCCACTTTGGACCAAAAGTATGCAAGTATATTCAAGTAAAATTTAAACAATAAGAAGCTGGAAATGTGGAAGTCCAAGAGATTTAGTGTCCATGTCCATGGATCACTACATTGTAGTAGTTAGGTGAAAAAATAACGTATTAATAGTATAAAAGGAAGCTTTATTAGGCATTTAAAAAATCTGAGTTAGACTACATCTGGAATGTCATTTTGGCCACTGCACCTGACAAAGCACATATTGGCTTTGGTGATTCACCAGATTGCTATCAAATCTCCAAGAGCTAATTTGTGAGGATATGTTTACATAAACTAGGCTTGTATCATAGAATAGAATCCCTACAGTGTGGAAGCAGGCCACTTGGCACATGGAGTCCACACCAACCCTTCAAAGAGCATCCCACCCAGATCCACCCCACCCCCATCCTATCCCTGTAACCCTGTATTTCCAATCGCTAATCCACCTAACCCACACATCCCTGGACACTATGGGCAATTTAGCATAGCCAATCCACCTAACCTGCAATTTTTAGACTGCAGGAGGAAAGCCATGCAGACATGGGAAGATTGTGCAAATTCCACACAGACAGTCGCCCAAGGGTGGAATCACCCTGGGTCTCTAGCTCTGTGACCACTGAGCCACCATATTCCCAGCAATACTGAACATTTAAGGTTTGATTCAATCAAGACTTTTATGATTTTGAAAGGAATTGGGAGAGACAAAGAGAAGCTATTTCCACTAATGAAGAAGGCTAGTAAAAGGAACATAACTTTAAAGTCAGACATCAGGGCCAAGTCATTTAATGATATAAATTAGGAAACAATCCTTCATGTGATGAGTAATTGAAGTGCGGAACTCTCTCCCATGAAAAGCTATTGATGCTCACTGATTAATTTTAAATCTAACATCATTAGATTGTTGCTGGAGTTTATGGATGGAGTTCCATTAAGAGCTCACTGAATGGCTGTTACACTGGATCTATGTCCTACTCCAATTCCTATGAAGGCTGTAAGATATGAGAGTGGTGTAAAATACTGAAGTCAACACAAGAACAGAAAAGGCCAAAAAGGAAACACTCTTGCTGTAAGAATGGATGAATTATAATGAGTAACTATGGCAGAAAATCATAGAGCAGCCAATGAAATATTACCATGTGTTCTTATTTTTACTTGAATACAGACCTGAACATAGTTTATTAATAAGGAATAAATGCAAATTACAGCTAGCCTATTTTATATTTAAAAAATCATGCATGGTTGGGTATACAATTTATACAGTGAGAACAGACCATTTCCTACACTGATTGGTATTAAAAAAGAACTATAAAGATGCAATTTACTAACACATAAATGCAGGTTTTTTATTTTAGCAAAAATATTTACAGCTAGCTTGTTCAGCCTTCTTGGTATGATCTGTGAAAATAAACTTCTTATTCACACACAGAGCGAAAAGGATAGTGAAAACATACACGGAGACTAAGTGTGAAACAAGGAAAGTGAGAAGAAGAAAGAAAAAATGATAAGTATCTTAGTTCAGCCTCAGTTGTAAAATGGAATGAAACAGTATATGGTCACTCAGGTATTGCAAAGTCAATATCTCACAATGGCCTGAACTACCTGAGATTACAAAATACAAGAGTATCTTAGTTACTAATTAACAAGACAATTCACTGTGGTAGACAGTTTGCTGCTTTTAAAGCTGATGATCGCTGAAGAAATATTTCACTGAACATTGCAGGAATATTATAAGATGAAAAATTCAATTCAGGTAATAGAGACTAAAGTCAATTTTTACATAGGGTGCCAGCTGGAAAACAACCAATATGCAAACTGGAAGCCAGATGCATGAATGTACAACATCTGCCACTGAAACCCCTATCCATGCCTTTATTATCCTGGACTATTCCAATTGCAGCCATTTCTCCCAATATGTTTAGGTAAGGGCAGGGTAGTTACATTGAAATTATATGCCAGTCACTTAGAGCAGTGTGGTCTTCAATCATGAGTTCATTTCGTTCATCTCCATTCAAACCAGAAATATTGCTGTCACAACCATGGTATGGATTTGTAAAGTGTATGTTATGTGGAACAAATTTAGTGGAATTTTTTGAGGACAGCACTAGCCTTGCTGATAAGGAGTATATAGTGTCACCCACTGGTACCGAACTCACATCTGAATAAGAATATTGTGGGTTCAAGTCCCACTCTAGAGGTTTGAGCACAAAAATCTGTGCAATATGCAGGAAGTG